AAACACAACAAAGATGTTACTCACAAGAAAACGTGCTCAAACTAAGACGTATGTTCAATGACACAGACTGGGATCTTTTCACTGAACACACACTGGATGATACTATTTCCAACTTGACTGACTTTCCTAAATTCTACCTTGATGTATGCTGTCCAAAACAGATACTTTTCAAAAGAATAGACCATTTCTCTTCCCTTCATCTCAAAAAGCTTCGAAGAGGAAAACAGAGACTGTACAAGCCTAAGGATAAAGCTGGTCTTAGGAGGATAAACTTCCAAATTAAATCCGAAATCAAGAGGCTAAACAATATTTATAATCAAAGAATTTTGTCATGTAAAACTCCTGGGAACATGTGAAAGCTTTTTAAAGAAATTACAGGCTTTGCCCCCTCTATTGATATAAATACTCTTTTATCCGCCCTCCTAATATACCCTTTTAGCTTCAATGTAACAAATAACATGACCAGTGACTTTAATAGTTTTAAACCTTCTGATGTTCTTAAATGTTTAAAATCTCTTAAACCTTCCCAGAGTCTAGGCCCTGATGGTATACCTGCCACTGTCCTAAGGAAATGTGCTGATATTTTAAGTAACCCACTTACAAACATTTTCGACACTTCTTTTTCTAATAATGTTGTACCTTCTCTGTGGAAAGATATTAAAATCATCGCTGTACCCAAGTCAGGTTCTGGTAATAATGCTAAGTTTAGACCTATCGCTATTACCTCCCCTTTTTTGAAACTAATGGAGAAATTATTGTTACTAAAACTTGTTCCCTCCCTAAGTTTCTCAAACGACCAAAAGCAGTTTGCTTACAAACAGGGTAGAAGTACTTTGGACGCTGCTTCTGTGTTTCATCACAACATTGTATCCTCCTTAGACAAAGGGGCCAAGTATGTCCGTTGTACGTTCCTTGATTATATATTTGCTTTCGACTCTGTACCTAGAAGCCTATTGTTAAACAAACTTAGCCTTATACAAACTGAGCCCTGGGCTATCAAATGGCTACACTCTTACTTCTCTAATAGGATGCAGTACACGGTATATAATGGTGTATCTTCCTCACCTTTACTTACTGAAGCTGGAGTTCCTCAGGGTGCTGTTCTCTCTCCGTTTCTCTTTTCCTTCTACTTACATGATTTACCTATTTCAGACGAAATCAACTTCGTCAAATATGCAGATGACCTGTCTGTATCGTTTCCCATTAAGCCTCTGTCAGACTGTTTCAGATTAAATAGCTTCCTGTCGGACATCAGTCAATGGTCTATACTAAATGGCCTCATGCTGAATCCCTCAAAATGTCAGACTATTGACTTCGCCCTCACGCATAAACGAGATCTACAAACACTAGTAAGTTCTCATGAAGCCTGTTGCATTGAGGGGACTAAAATTGAAACTAAGCCTAGTGCAAAATACCTCGGTCTAGTTCTGTCTTCTGACCTTACTTGGACATCTCGTATCCTAACGATTTCTAAGAAAGTGTTCTGTCTTACCTACTACATTAAGAAACTTAGACAATCTGGAATCACCCAACCTCTACTTTCACAATTTGTCAACTCTTGTATCTTACCTATTCTACTTTACTGCTCCCCACGAGTCTTCCTTGGTCTACTGAAAAAGGACTATGCCATCCTGAGAAGGATGTTGAAGGTACTTAGCAGGACTAGTGGTGTAAAACTCAGTCAGCTCGTCACTACATAAGTTGAAAGGCATCTGAATACATGCGAAAAATGGTCTAAAACCATACTCTCCGACCCTAACCATAACCATACTCCGAAAACCACCTCTATTCCCAACTCTCGCCTTGTATCTCATCAAGTAGGACGAGAAATCAGTATAAAATAATTTATGCTCTTACAACCAAGTACAGGAACTCAACGATACCATATTTGGCCCGTGTTCTAAGTGACAGAGACAATGTTAAACGCGAAACCTGTTGTAACAGCAGAAGACAAGGGCCAGGCAACAGATCATTTATTAAGGAAATCAACACATATTTATATATTTTCATGTACATTACTTTGGATATTTAAGCAAACAAACACAGTCTTCCGATTGGTGGTTTCTCACGTAAAGGTAATCTTTCATCTATTTGTGACTGTTTCTTGAATGTCAAATCCTCTATATGTTAACTGCATCCGCCTACGCAAAGTCTGCTGTGGTCGGTTTTGAATCAATCTTTGTTCACATTTTCTCACGACAAATCTTGGGAACGTAAATATCGACGTAAATTGCTGTCTACCAATTTGGCTAGTAGACAGCTCTCACCACACTATGACTTGCTTTATTGTTAATAACATAATTTTAGGCTCTTTTACTTCTCTCTTATTTTGTATTCTATGGTGAACTCCTTCTTAAACATACATAGCTACCTAAATTATTAGTGTTGTTTCAACCAAATTAACTGATCATCTTGGTGATAAACGTTATTAAACATCATTTCATAACTTCTTGTATGACTACAGCTTTACTGTCACCATGCACAATCATATCATAGTTTCCATGACCCAACACTGAGACATTATTCATTATGTTGTTTACTTTCCTTTCTACTTCTTGGTAATTTTTCGCATTTAGAACAAAACTATTTTTGTGATTTTTTTGTTTTTTTGTTGTTGTTGTCTTTATATTTATTTTTTGAAATACTCCTTTTAAATGTTTGATAAAATCGGATGCGAATATTGTAGATGTGTGCTGAAAATTACACACTGTACCACTAGTACTGTTTCTGGAATAAAGCAAATGATTATTAATAAAAAGATAAGTAAAGGAGGAGAAGCTATATAGTACTTGAAATGATAGGATACATTTGCAATGTCTAAAGCTAACCATATTGGTCTAAGCACGGAAACAATGATGTTTTCGATGAAGATATAGCTTTGTTCAAACATTGGTGTTGTTGTGTTCTTAATCAAAGCAAGCAGATTTTGATCAAGCAACAAATATGAACAAAGAGCAAGTTTTAGCTTTAATAATGGCCTAGGCAGTTAACATAAAGTAGAGTATAATAGTGCGTAAATAAAAAGATCATCATAAGGTAGGTCGGTGATATTTCAGTGAGGAGTGAATTCCAAGATTTGGAAAATTAGAACCCATAGGGCAGGCTGGCCTGTAAGATGTCTGACGAATTTCTGTAGGGCCCAGTGGGGCATCTTGACAAGAAGCTGGACAGGCTTGTAGATGGTAGGAGCAGGAGCACTTTTTTATTTATAATTTAGATCTGTTCAACCCTTATTATTTTTGTTTTATTGTTGGGGGTCTAGACTAATGTTTTATTTCTCGAGCTGTCAAAAAATGCATGTTGCTGTCCTGCAGATCGGAGCGATTCACATTTGTGAACACTACCATGTCTGCTGACCAGCAGGTACTCGGACCACTTTCAGGAGTATCTTAGAAGTTACCTGAAGTATTTAGATTCTGCCATGATTTTCCGACCAAGTGACTCTGGTTCCCTCGAAAACTGGTCTTATGGATGGATGCACTAAGTTGGTGATTTGCTGCCGCCAGCATCGTTTTCACACCAGATACTTCAAGTGTGCTTTCGAGTGTAGTAGTATTTGGTGTTATTCTTACTAAAGTGTTAAGTTAATATATAGCTGAATATCATATGTGCTCTGGCTTCAGATATATACTTGATCGTGCCTGTAAAAATGGCACGCATTTTCATGTAAATTTGTAAATTTATATGAAATACATTGCTATTATTATTAATAACTGCAGATATATGGTGGAAGAAAAAGAAGCGAGTGACCTATACCATTATAACACTGCGCCGCAGGTCAGATCTGTGTGAACCTTTAGCTTTCAAATTAGGCAGTTCGTCATAAAGGTTTCACCCTGGCAGTTGAAGGGCAGCCGATGAGTGCATCAAAGCAGTGCAATTAATCACCAACCATTAAGTTACCGAAATGTCTGGACGAGTCCTCCAATTTCATGATCAATGAACGTGTTTTTCACTGAAGAACCGGAATAATGTATCTTTCAATTTCGCGGTCACTTTACAGTTAGAGGCCGTATACTGGAATTGAGTGCAAACACTCCCTCACTGTGGTACTAGATTTGAGTGTGAGTTTATCTCGCTTCTTGACGCCATAAATGTTGTTGTTCTATTATACTATCATGCGCTCTAATGCGTCCTCCAAACGACATCGCCGTCCAGACACTAAATGAGATTTTTACCTTGGGAGCGACAGCTTTTGTGCGCAAATTCAGTCCACATAGAACACCGAAGTGTTAATTCACTGGGTGAGATTTCATGAGGTGAAATGCTCTGTAGGTTGCAGCTGTGGGTTGATTTCCCCTAAGTCACTAAAATGTTTTGGCAATCAATCCATAATTCAAATGCTTAGATGGAAGCAGCTTTATCACCTTAAAAGAAGAAGAGAATTACGTGGTTTGACCTGACACCATTACCTATGTCTAGTTGGCAGCATTCTGCAAATGTGTTCACCATGGAAATTATTTTGCCTGCGTGATGTTTAATGATGTAATCGAATCAGGTCCTTGATTTCTCCTACGTTACATCACAATTAAATTTCCAACTTCTTGGACTGTGGTTGTGCAGTTACGCCTAGTTTACTGTAGGAATTAAAAGTACCTGGGTCTCCTTGAGAAATATGCAGCGTGAGATGACTGAGTGAGAGCTATGGAGATAGGAGGGAAACGGGATATCTTCCTCAATAGAAAGACTAAAAAAAAATAAAAAAAGACTTGGCGATTTTGTTGATGGCCCATGTTGCTACGTGACTTGAAGACCACTTGCCAATCATGTTTCCTGAAATACTACTCCGGAAATAGCAGTTCAACACTTACCACCTCAATCAATTGGAGGGAGGGTAATTTTGATTCACTAGTTGAGTTTTAACACTACTCCCTGAATAAACTGATTTGATTTGAGGCAAAACAACATACTCGAGTAGCTGTAGTCAGTCAGCCGGGTGTATTCTAAACGTGGTAGAAGATTTTAAGCAGAACAGTTAATCTGTCATTTCGGCCTACCTGATGATATCGGAAGTGAGTTTGCGAGCAGCCTTCAGTACCGGATTTACGTCGTTTAGTAGTGCTATCACCTATTTCACACAATTACGAAAAACTATTCACATCAATTAGTGTACCATCTATACTGGCATATTGTGTGATCATTTATGAAACACATGAATGGGAGCTTAGATTTCAGTGGATATGGAATAGAAAAAATAATTCAGCGGAGTATTTTGAAAAGAAGATTTAGAGCCAGCCATTAGCCAGGGTTATGCGAACAAGTAGTTAAGTCATCGAAACAGTAAGTATACATAAGTGTACATTTAGAGTCATTCTCCCTTTCAGTCATTTTCAATTCATTATAGAATAAATAGCAAACATTCTTCTGAAAGAGACAGCGATCTTTGAATTAACCAATGTGCTACTAGTCCAGTTGTTTCCGAAGGTTTGGCGCTGTGCACGACATTTGACCTAGAGGTGTTTAGATTCCGGTAGGTGCTTTGTTTTTTTCTTTGTAGGGCTATCAGATAATTTTTGTGGTGTTTATAACAGAATTTCCTATCACTTAGTTGAAGCGAACAAGTTTGTGGAATAGGGGTCAACACCAGGAACCTTCAGAATAACCTGGTGACCATGGTCATGTTATTAACGGACGTTAATAATAAAAGCTGCAGGTTTTTCACTCATAGTTTGCTCCAGATGTGATTTTCTAGTTTTCAAGTTAGTCTTAGCTGTGTGAATAGGCATACAACCCTGACGTAGTGCAGTTAGGTTAGGCTGAAGTCATGATTTTTCTATGTAAACTAGGCAGTGTACGTTTATATATACGTTTCGCCAACAAACCTACTAATTTTCCTCCTCCTCCTTTAATTCTAAACGGCTGTCTGTAGGGCTGCTACCCATGTCAAGGATCTTTGATAATCAGTCAAACTAACAGGTTGTTCAAATTATACAGCCTATTATGCATTTGCTTAGCGAGTTCCGGGAAATTTAGGTGTACGATTACTGTGTGAATAGTAGAGTAACTTGAGCTACCGAGATATTCGTTTTTAGGGTATGCTTGATAGGATGACTAGTTTGCTTAGGATTATGAAAGGACATCCGATGTGACAGAACAATCTGTTTCGAGGCTTTACAGTAATCACAGTAATTACGGACACTTGGCCTTCCTGGAACTCGTCTGTCAGATGTTTACTTTGACTTAGTTATACCACCGGTTACTCTAAATGGTTGCCGAAGTTCATGTACAGGCGTAGCCACTATATTTTAACTTTACCGTCCTTGAGTTAAGGATTTTCTGGTTATATTAGTGCTTGGTAGAGTTTCATTATTTTATCATTACTTTTAAATACTGACATATATGTATAGGGTTTCTCCTGAAAGGGTCTCATTTAATCCACTGGTTATGCGTCTGTTTAGGCTTCACGTGAGTCACCGTTTCTTAGTGGTGTTGTTCTTCTAAAGCCTTATGAAGAGTGACAGCTTAGACGGATACACCTTCCAAGATAATCTTTTCTCCTTCAAAGTTATTCGCTAGGTTAGAAGCAAGATTGGTATTTTGTTACTGTTTTCATTGTTTGCACTAATCGATGAGAGCTTATAAAGTACTAAGCCACTTTCTGCTAAATAATATCGCACTAAAACTAGTTATATTTTGAAAAGGTGTTTTGTTGCTTTCACTGGTGGAGTGAGTAATGTTCTTTAGTTATTATATAATAATACTTTCTGTTGTAATAACGTAAAATTACTGTTATGTCAACGCATACATAATTCTGTCTTTGTAGATAAGAGAGATTGGTTGGCTGAAACTCGCAATATTTTGTCGATGGCGTGTGTTCCACTGTGTAGCAGGTCAAAGCTGAATGTTCCTTTATTTCTTCGCGCTACTTCTGATTTACTGACTATTATTCTGCGTAAGTTGTTAGATAAACTTTCATCAGTGTATTTTAAATACCAGTTCACGCAGTGTATTTTCTGATTAAGTTTTTCGGTAGTCGTAAATGGAGTTTCTTTTGTGATGATTGGAGCATTAAATATCCGTACAAAGGCAATACTGTATCCTCTCTAGCAGTATGCCTATATGGTTATCTAACGCCGATTGTTATAGTAAGTTAGTCGATGTAAAATCTTTCATTTTCATTCGATTTCTAAAGATTGTCCTAGTGGAAATAGGCACAGCAATATTTAGAAAAAAAACCGAAAGGAGTTATTCAATGAAAAGTGTGAGTTTTATCAATTGATAAAATAAAATTCCTTTCTCTTCATTTTTTTAACTTTACCAATATACTAACATTGGATTATCCTATTTTTAGTCACTGCCATTTATTTATGACTTCTGTATTGCTTCTCTTGTGTCACACGGAGTTTGTGTCTTCTTGACAACACTTACAAAGTATAACCTGGGTCGATTGAGACCGCATTTTTGGGATGTGTGTCAACCGAATGTTCCGCTTAATTGTACAGGACTACAAACGGTGTACACATGTCAAGGCACTAGACAAGATTTAATTCATGATGTTTTGTAAGTAGTTTTATTTTTATAGATAATATCTCTATAACTGATCATATTTTCCCCATAACTTGTATTAGATATGTTAAATTCATCATACCATCTCCTGGCCAAATGATTAGTCGAACTCTTATAGCCACTACATACTGAATTGGTGAAATACAGCGTAAAAAATGAGTTTGAATGTATTGAAAGGATAAAAGATTTAAGTGTTGACAATAAATTCATGATATCATTTGACGTATCCTCCTTGTTCACCAATGTACTACTTATGGAAACATCACTAGGACCATTTTTAGTCGACATTTTCCTTGGGAAACTAGAAAATGGGCCTTTGAAGGATGTTATTCATGAACTCGAATTCTGCTGTCGTTACATGGATAATACATTTTTTGATTACTAAAAATGATGATGAAGCAAAGAACATCCTGGACAAATTTAACGATGTTCAGCCTGCAATAAATTTTACCATCGACAAAGGAAAAAAACTCCAGTAAATCATTCCTAGACGTCCTTATGACTAGAAAAAAGGATGGTACAATAGGAAGAAATGTATATAGAAAACCTCCATCAACTGGTCAATATACTATATGTATATATATATATATATAACTATAGAACCAGAAGAGGAAATTACCGTAAATGATATTCTCTGCTCAATCTTTTGCTTTTTAACTTGTAATTATTTATTGTATTATATTCACTGTTTGAATTCACTTCCAAGCCAATGACGTGACTTCAAATAATACCAGTTAGCGCTGTTAGCTTCAAGGTCTGTTATCTCTCCACACTTCAATATAAAACATTTGAGTTGTGTGTAATGCTTGTTTTCATTTGAAGACAATGCATATGTTACTGAGTACGTGGATGGCACAGCTGTGGAATGCTCGTCAACCACGCCTCATGTAGTTCGGGGTTCGATTCCCGGCTGATGCACTCTTGAACTCTGCAAAGTTGATAGTATGACCGGTAAAGAGGAAAGGTTTGGGTCTGAGGTTAGCAACAACTTCACCACTGCTACCGCAACTTGAAAGCTGTAGCTTGAAGCCCTGTCTGTGTGTTCCATTAAGGGGAAAATAAGGGAATAAGAAAGTATGTTACAAAATGTAGGTAGGCTTGATGCTGTGCAATTTCCCCATCTGAAAATCTGTCTCTGAAATAAAAAGAGAAATAGTACTTTTATAACAGTTAAAGTTAAAGTCTGTATTCGACATAGAACTTTTCACCGTTGTGTGGCAGTTCAAGTCGCCACACTCAATGTAGCACAAAAAGCAAGGGAAGAAATGCATAATATAGACAGTAAACAGAGGTGAGAGACAAAGGAATAGTAGTAACGAAGAATAATATAGATTCATTGGAAATCACAAGTCACAAGGAGTGGATGCATCTGCGCCATTGAGAACGATTTTGAGCCATGTCACCAATTGTTTCCAACCATTGGTTTTTACCGTCCCGAGGACCCCAACCAGTCAGGAAGTCTACACCTTCCTACGTTTCTGGTTTAAACTAACTGTTGTAGATTTCATTGACTGGTGCCATGTTTTGGTTTGACCGCCGCTAGCTCTTTTCCAACCTGACCCTATGTCAGCTAACATTACCCATTGTCGAGGAAGGCGATGACTAGGCATACGTAACACATGTCCTGACCATCTCAGTCGATGTAGCTTAACAGCCATGTCGATTGATTTCCCCTCCTTACCTAGCACTCGACGCCTAACCTCAGTATTGCTGACCTTATTATACCACTTCACACGGGAGATAAAACGCAGGCACCTATGATCAAAGACAGCTAGTCTTTTCATGTCTTCCACTCTTAATGGCCAGGTCTCACAGCCATAAAGGAAGACGAAGCGGACTGATGAGCAGTACACACGCCCTTTGGTCGATAGCTGGATATCACGTCTACACCAGAGACGGCGTAAACTGGCATATGCGAAACTAGCCCTCTGTATCCATACTGAAATTTCGTCAGAGATCAACCCGTTGGGGCTGATGGTACTTCCCAAATAAGTGAAGCGGTCAACGTGCTCTACCACTTCACTCCCTATTTCTAAACTAGGAGTCAGTGTAGTCCAGTCCTGTAGCATCATCTTACATTTGGCGGGAGCGAATCGCATGCCAAACATTCGTCGATTGCAGCTCAAGGTGTTCAGAAGACTCTGCTGGATTTTTTCAGCGTCCTCGCCTAGAAGGACTATATCGTCTGCATATTCTAAGTCAACGAGATTATTCCCTAGGAGCAAATCAATCCCTGAGTTTGGTTATTACTAGTAATCAATAATAAATCGGGCTTGGATCCAGTCATGAGTTTTCAGTTGGCGAAATATACATTTCTTCATTAAGTTTAGCCAGACAGAAAGCCAGCCCTGAGGGACTTTTGTGAAAGACTAACGATTCACGTATGGAGCGAATAGAGACATTGGATGATAAGGAAAAATTAGAAAAAAGGACAGTTGCAGCGACGGAAATGTTTTATTTCTTTTTGACAAAGTCACCAACTGGGCTGTGTATTTGTGCATGTCTCTCTCTCTCTCTCTTTACATGTATAGTAAGGGGATGGGGGAAAAGTTCCTAAACAATTTTGCTTCAAGGGTTCAATTGTAACGATTAACAAGAATACAAATGGGCACTAAAAACGTAATTTTAATTACAAAAATAGTAAACAGGAAGTTATGATAAGTAAAAGGTGATGGGGGATAATCACTATTGAGAGAATTGACTGTTTATAATAGCTATAGGAAAGACAAGAGTTGGATGTACTTTTAAATACATGGTAGTAGCATTGGCTTGAGATTTTGAGTTGATGGTAGTACTTCAGCTATGTGTAGATATTTTGATTTCACTCCCTTTCAGAGATATAATCAGCTCTTGTATAGGATTTTGAAGGATTTTTCAATAGATCATTATCTTGAGTTCACCAGATAGATGTGTTCTGTTCTCTCTTTGTTAGCCATAGTGGATGGTGTTACCGAGTGTGTTTTACAAGTGGATGTGTGATACGGTCAGTGTATTCAGCCCCACACGAGCAAACGAACTGGTACATGAGTGTTGATGATACGACCCAATGCGACGACAGCTTGTCCTTCATGTGCTAGTCGAATAGTTTCTTGGAGGAAAAAATTGTTACTGGTCTGGCAGAGAGATTTTAAAAAGTGTCTTCGGATAATTTCTGCTTCAGTATCACTTTTAAATTCTGGATCCAGGATCAGGGTACTTTCTGGGTGTGTGTGTGCGTGTAGGGGTGGGGTGGGGTGGGGTAACCTGGAACTATTCAGCAGCTTTTGTTTTTGGCTTCAGGTTCTTGTCTATGAATCTGGATGGGGAAGTATTTTCCATCAAGAGATTCTTTGGAGATTTCGTAACTGTTTGTCAACAGATTCCTCGGTGCAGTCCTCCAGTGTATGTAGCACTGCTGTATAGTTTATTTATTAAACAACAAGTGACGTCTGTTTGTCAACCTTTATATGGAAGTTATCTGTGAAGATTTTGTTCAAAAGAGCAGTGGAAGCGCCGCATAAGTGGATAACCGAGCTTGGAAAGCAAGCAACGAAGAAAGACCAAAGGCGCATCTATCTGCTTGAAAGCCTTCAGTGTCACTTGAATACGACTGGCTAGTTGACAAATTAGTTACGTTAACAAAGACAGTGGTATTTGTAGCTCTGTGACAAGTCGAATTCTCACTTCACGTTAAGTCAGTCAGTCATCATTACTCCAAAATATTTAAATCTGATCTGTCGTAAAAAAGGTGACACTCTTAGCTTTGCAAATTTTTATCTTTGTGTTTACTCTTCTGTGTATTTTTAGTAATGCGTTTATGCTCTGTTTTCTGTTCTTCCCGGCATACAACTGTTATCTTGTCGTGGTGGTCGGGCTTGAATACTGCAGTTACCCAACAAGTTAAGCTGTCTGGGACTCCTGTTCCTGCATGCACTACCGTGTTAGGAAGGTTGTGTGGATAGTGGTTAGACTAAAAGCGGTTACCACGATGTACATGGGCTCCAGAATCCAATCGGATCAAATGGCGTATGAACCTGCATTGGTCACTGGCAACCATGGGAACGTAGCTCCTGATGCTGTTCCGCTGCCGTGCGGATTAGACTCCAAGTCAAAGGCTCGCAGGGTGGTCCATTAAGACTTGTTTCGGTCTGAGCGCCCGAGCAATATTTCAGCCCTCATACAACCAACGAAATAAAGCAACAAACTGTCAGTGAAACTTATCGCGCGCTCTTAACAATGCTCTAAAGCAATAATGATGTTTCAAGTGACACATCTCTTTCCAACCTTACTTTTATTTTTATACATGGACTCCTGTATTTTACATATACTAACCTACACGTCTTCACTTTCATCAGCCTTTCGCCTTTGTCTGAATTCCCAACCTATCTGTGTCGTTTCGAGATGTTAGTGAGTAAGTAGCCTTCAAAATGGTTGTCCCCAATTCAATGTCGCATCTAACACAGATATCCTGAAACCACGTGCCGCCTTCAAGCTGGCCATCTACAATGTTCGGACGCTGATGCAAATCGGACAATAGGCAGGGTTGGTGAGAACATTGGAAAGCGTCTCTATCGATGTCTGTTGTATTTCGGAGACCCACATTCAAGATCCCAGTGAAGTGTTTCGATTATCCTCTCCATCTGGAAGTTCGAATATTATGTACCACCTGCGCTTGTCCGGGGACCCTGTGGCGTCGGCATTCGGCGTGGCTGGTGTCGGTGTCGCACTAAGTGCTAGAGCCGGAGCTGCATCACTCGACTGGATCCCCACTAACAGTCGTTTGTATGGTGTGAGACTGGAGGGCTATACGAAAATCAGGAGTGGTAGGCCAGACGGTCGTTGTCTCTGCCTATGCACTGACAGATTGCAGCACGGATGCAATTAAAAATAAGTTCTACTGCCAACTGAGCGTGCTCTTGAAACAGGCTCGTTGGAGGGACATCGTAGTGCTGACTGGGGACTTGAATGCACAGGTCGTGCGTCTAAGCTCAGAGGAGAATCGTCTAGGTGGTCAATAGGGTTTACATGGTCCCAGATCGGATAATTGAGAGCGTCTTCTGCAGCTTTGCGCAAATCACAGCCTATTTCTAGTCAGCACCAACTTCCGGCCAGCCATCACTGTAGCGCTACCTGGTGTCCTCCCTCTGCGAATTAAGCTTGGACTCAAATTGATCATATTGCTGTCAGTTTTCGGTGGCGAGGATACATACAAGACTCCCGCTCCTTTTGGAGCACATGCCTGGACTCTGATCATGCGTTAGTGTGTGTCATAAAAGGCGTCGTCTAATCGTTGATGTGAGCAAACTAGTAGTACCTTCTACTTCTTTGAAATACCAGAATGAGTTAAAATCAATGCTTGCTAGCAACCTCTCAAGTAGTATAGATGAACATTGGCTTCATCTGCAAGGCGCCATGCAAATGGCGAGTGTAGCCACTTGTGGCTATAAAGAATGCTTGTCTAATTAGACAGTATTTACGTAAGGACCGCAAAGCCTGGTGGTCAGAACGTGCGTGTGAGATGCAGTCAGCTGCTGCATCTGGCAACGGTTGGAGCTGTTCTATCTCATCCGAGCCATTGGCAGCAAGAAACAAAGTGTTAGCGTGACGACATGTGAGGCAGGTTGCACGCCAATTACCAGCCTGAAAAGACGCCTAAAACGCTGGGCAGATCACTTTACGAAGCAGTTTAGCTGGCCGCCAGCTTTAGTACCGACCCACCAATCGAAGCAAAGGTTCGTAAGGAACTCCAAGTATTAAAACTCCATAAGGCACCCTGCTGAGACAATCTACCCCCGGCTCTTTTTAAAGATGGTAGCGAAACCCTAGTAATGGCTTTAACTGGGTTATTCATGAAAGTATGGGAAACTGAGAATGTACCATCAATGTGGAACGAAGCCATTATCGTCCCCGTCTTTAAAAAGGGTTGGCGTAACTCATATGACAATCATAGGGGTATCAGTCTGCTGGCAGTTGCATCTAAAATATTGGCTGCTGTCTTGCTTTGCAGGCTGTATAAAACACGTGAGGGATTGATTCGCGAAGAGCAGGCTAGGTTTGGTTCAGGTCGTGGATGCATTGATCATGTGTTCACCCTTCGTCAGTTGTCGGAACACCGCCAGACGTATTGCAGGCCAACAATCATTGTGTTTCTTTTTGTTGAGGCTGCCTTCGATTCGTTGGCAAGAACTGTGCTCTGCAACTGTCTGTTGAAGAGGGGTGTACCTGAGAAGTTTGTCAGCATCCTGAAAGCTCTATGCAGAAACACTTCAGGTAGTGTGAAGGCATACAACCAACTATCATCACTGTTCCCAACCAACAGTGGGGTTAGACAGGGTTGCCCGATCTCTCCATTTCTCTTTAACTTTGCCATCGATGACATGCTTGAGTCGACTCTGAAGGTGGTGTAGATCTCCCTAGAGAGAGACTTTTCAACCTCAAGTATGCAGACGACATCTTCTGCCCAAATCGCACTTAATCAGTTGGCGACCAGTGTCTGTAAGTATGATATGTGCTTTGCGTCGTCTAAGCGCAAATTAGTACTGCTACAAAATTGGCAGGAGTCTGTATCTGCACTCACTCTTGTAGGTGAACCCCTTGAAGTTTTTGATAAGTTTGTGTATCTGGATAGTTGTGTGGGTGGTGGCGGAGGGGTGACGGATGAAATTTCCAACCGTGTCATGAAAGCCAGGGTGGCATACGTTAACTGTAGCCACCTCTAGTACCGTCGTGACGTTTGCCTGGTTGTCAGAGGTTGGGTTTGCAATGCTTCGGTGCGGGCTGTCTTGCTCTTCACCTGTGAAACCTGTCCTGTCCGGGTGAGCTGAGGATGTACGGCGACTCTGCGTATTCGGCCATGGCTATCTCCGGAGGGATTGCTTGCGTTCAATGGCATCATCGCGTGAGTAATTCTGAGTTCTGGCGGCGTGTGTTTGGACACAGTGGAGATCACCACTCGTTGAGTGTCATCGTCATGTGGAAACACCGGCTTCGGTAGCTTGGATATGTGCTGCGAATATCATCCCAGAGGCTTCCGTACAGGTCTCTGTTCGCTGACCAGCCCTGGGACGGGATGAAAACTTCGGAGAGGTAGGTGGTGGTCAGCCCATGACTTGGCATCGTGGGACGAAGGATGTTCGCGTTAGGTTAGCATCGGTTGGTGCTTCATGACTCCCTGGTTGGAGTTCGAGAGATAGCTCGTATCGATGGCTCGAAACATAATCGAATATTACCAAGAGTCGTAATCAATGGCGAATGTGCTGCAATTTCCTTCTTTCTTGCCTTCCTGACAATAGTTGACGAATGCTGTTTGAACTTGTTAAGTATGATTGTTTTCCTTCCAGATGATGTTCTTTATCCGTTCTCCACCCATATTTTTACTTCTAATCTATGTTTTATCATTAATTTTGGTGCCATACTGTACCAAGTTCTTTTGTGTTTAAAGAATAATGATAAAAGTTTTTTAAAATTTTGTTTAGCTTATCATTTGTGTCTGGTCATGCATCAACAGCTGCTGCAGGTATATTTTTCTCTGTGGTATGTGTTGACATAATTTTTGAAGTTATATTTTAAATTAATGTGCCTTTGTGTTCTCCTATTAATGTTGATTTATTGTGCTGTTGACGTCGACTGCTAGGTTTCCAGTGGAACGTGTGAGGCCTCAACACAACATTTGCATTTTGTCCTGTTCTCAGCACTCCGCTTTTTGTTGGCTCAACGATTGTCCATAGGTTCTGATCTCCTACTCACATGATCTTCTCCATGTTACCCTCGGACACGCCCAACTCCTTGTTCTTCTTTGGGTTTCACTCCAGTGATGGCCTGCATTGTACGCGATGTCACCTAACGGTGTTCTCAGTGTGTGTGTGTGTGTCGAATCCATTTCCATTTTCTTTGGGTTACTTTTTGAACAGCAGGTTTTCGATTGGTTCGTTTCCAGAGTTTCTTGTTGCTCAGCTGATCTTCAGTATGGAACCAGCCAGCAAAGGAGGCAGCTGTTGATGAAAGTCTGTCGTGTAGCCTGTTGGAAATGCTTTTCGTGATGCACACGCAGTGCAAGTTTCCGACCCATATAGAAGCACTAACTGATTTAACCACATGGGTGTTGATAATCTGAATGTTGTTGTCTATGCTGAGGCTGAGTGCAGAAGATTTGCAGACTGATTTCAAAATGGTGAATGTCTGTCTATCGTGTCTTTCGGATTCTGGTCTGGCTGGTTTTGACATCCTCATGTGTGCCGTATACTGGTTGTAGTTGAAACGAAACTGCCTCCTAGATAAGTGAAGTGATCGCTTTCCAATTTCACCCGCTGGTAGTGGTTGGTTGTTGTTGTTGTTAGCTGGGCATTTTCATCACCTCCGTCTTCTCCATGTTCACCTGGATGGAGTCCTGTCTTCGCTGTCAGCCTCTTCTGCCAGTTTGTTGGTTGGCGTCTGTAAGTCTTCGAATTTATGTGACACTAGATATAAATCATCCGTGATGTCTCCAGATCTTCTAGAGTCTTCTTATCAGTCAGTGCAGCGTATTCCTGTTTTCTAGCTGTCCTCCACTCACGGTGTTCGGTATAATCCAGTCGACGACAATTAGGGATATCATTGTTGGTGATAGTAGTTAGCCTTGTCCTACTCCTGTCTTCACTTCAAAGGTTCCTCTGAGTTCTCCTTTGTGGATTATATATGACTATGATATGTGGCACTATCACATAGAGCAAGCTGTTGAATGAGGTTGATAACGATTTTGGGCACTGAACACTTCATAGTGTTGAAGTAGTTTGCAAATAACTTCTATGTCAACGTTGTCGAAGGACTTTCCGAAGTCGATGAAGTCGAGGTAGAGAAAGATTCGATTGCCATTGTATGCTGTGTTCGATGATGATTTGTAGAGTTGGAATTTGGTCCGCAGATGATTTGGCTTTCCTGAATCCAACTTGTTCTGTGTCCTTTTATAGCACTTCCGTGTAACTTGCCATACACTCTCCGTAGAATACGAATAATGCAGTGGTCAGAATTCAGCAGTGTAGCTCTCCTTCACGCCTCGTATATGTCACGATCGTCTATGAAAAGCAAGTCTAGGGTGTTTTGTGCAGACAAGCATTGAATTTGACAAGGTTCTTGTGACCAAGTGATATAGGAAGGCTGTGATCGCAAGGAATATTTTCTTAAATGCTGTGGACGACACCTAACAGCGATACAGTGTGTATTGTCACTGGAAAAATTAAAACATACATGACTACATGTAGACCACTGTGTATTGATAAAAGTGGCTACCCCACCGTTATGCTTTTTCTTTGAACTGTGTCTGTTGTGATGGGGAATTTTATGTCCATTTAGTGAAATTAGATTGTCGTCATTTTTTCTGGTGGAGCCAAGTCTCTTGTATGGTTGAAACACCAGCATTTCGATACACATTTTGAGGATATTAGAGATTGGAGGTAGTCCGCTTTGTTAGGCAGAGACCTGCAGCTACTACTACTGACAACTTGAAGGACAGTGATACGATTAATTTCTGTACATTTGAATGCACGCTGCCAATCACAGTGATGTTTTTTCCTCAATTTTTGAGGATAGGTTGGAAAAATTTTGAAAATACGCGATTACGGAATTATTAAAAATGGGGTTACAGCGAAGCAAATATACTTCTCAACGAACATTTTTGTATTTTGTAGTAAACGTGTGAGAAATTTCCAGGATTATTTCCTGTCAAAGGTCAAATTAATAAAATTTGAAGGTGTAATGATCAAGAAGATCGAATAGACATGACGTGATAAGGTCAAATCATGGAATACACACATTGGATGATAGTAGTTGTTAAAAAGACGGTTGCAGCGAAGATAATTCTCATTTTGAGGAAGTCATAATAAAACTAAACCAAAGTCTAAAGTCTGTTACCAAAGAAACGGTTTCTTTTACTTCCCGAGAGAAATACGTGTTTAATTATTCTGATGTCTCACTATCACCGATTCAAATGCAAATCTTAACACTTGGACCTAAATTTTGCGATGCCACGTCAAAAGTGAATGAGCTGAACACGAAAGTCCAATTCGAGAAGGTAATAATTAATTAGACGAATTATCTGATCTCAATCTCATGTGATAGTGTGGGGTGTCTGTGTGTGACACACGTCCTAGCCATCAAAATCGAAGTAACTGCTTCGCAACCTCATCATCGATTAACTTTGCCTCCTTACCTGAATTATTATTCACCATGTTATACCATCGGACACAGGAGAGAAAAGAGAGGCATCCGTGGTCAAAGACATGCAGCCTTTTCATGCCTTCCACTTCCAATGGCCATACCTCATAGCCAGCTAGCCATAAAGGAGGAGGGAACAAAGTTACACGCACTTCGTTTGATCGATAGCCAACCGGATATCACGTCTGCTAAGCCATAGATGGTGTAAGTTGGCAAGTGGCACACGAGGCTTTTGTATCCATGGTGATATTTCGTGAGGAATCAGCCTGTTTTGGGGTTATTTACACTAACTATGAAGTGTAACACGTGAAATTACGTATTACGTTGAACTATGCAGAAGTTTGCAGCATCAAAGGAAGCAGAGTATTGAGTAAGAACATCCCAGAACGTTATTGTTGAATGAGTCACTGTCACTGAGTGCAGTAACCCTGTTGGCATTGCTTTAACGCTTTATAGATGTATGTGTAAAAGTTCTGAACGACTTCCACTCTTAAACGCGATATTGAGAAACTTGTAGTTTTTTGCAGCAGCTGCAGTTGCAGCATCGCCACCACCTCGACTAAACTGTCTTCTGTGTGTTGTTTTCTCCTTCTGACAGATATATCTCCAAGCTCGCCTGCAGTTGCCTCCATTGCCTTTGTTTCGACCATTCATTCAGTATGCACTAATCGCTAGTTTGATATATGTGTGCACTACTCGTGTAACTGATCACTATCATCATGCGACGGATGTTTTAGCTGGATTGATACTGGGTTTTCTAACTTCAGTATTTGCTGTAAGTTGTCTTGATATATAATTATTTCTTTTATACTCACTACATTTGATCATATTTCTAATTATAAATTATTGACAAAGTGTCAGTCCCAGTCACTGAACAGAGTTAGTCTGAATATTTTTCTCTCAATCTTATCATCCTAGAAGCTTTTCGATTCTGAGTTAAGTATGGTTGACACACATCTTTTTTCTGAGCTGTATTCAACAATTCCTGCAACTGACTATTATTGGTGTCCTCATTTCTTATTTACAATAGCTGGATTTTCTCAACCAACCAACATCAGTTAAAGAGAGACAGAGAGCAGTGGACGGGTGCTTCGTCTTATTCTGAGACTCCTCACCATCACCCACCCTTCCAGGGTGGGATCAAACTCTGGGCCTTCAGATTATAAGACGAAGTCCGTTGACCATTGAACCCCTTGGGCAGGAATTCTCAGTTACCCGTTGTGATGGTGGTGATATAGCACTTCCTTCAAACAACGCCTCCACAATGAACATTCCATTCCCCTTGTGATTTTGTGGACCCAGCTGGTCACCCCACTTCTCAGTACAGACAGCTTCAGGAAATCCATCCAGTCGACGCCGTAGTAGTAGTGTGGTGAGAGCTGGCTGCTAGTCAAAGTTGGTAGACAATATTGACGTCAGTGTTTATGTCCCCAATATTGGTGGTGAGCAAATGAGAACAAAGGCTTTGCGTAGGCGGATACAGTTAGCATACGGATGATCTGACAGCCACAAAGAGATGCAAGGTTAACTTTCTGTGAGAAACAACCAATCAAAATACTGTATTTTCTACTACCAATAATCTACAATAATGTGCATTAAAATCTATAAATATGTGTTGATTTTCCTTAATAAACGATCGGTTGCCTGGCCCTTGTCTTCTGTTGTTACAATAGTAGTAGCCATTATTGAGCTGGTTGGTGACGATGTTACTTCAGTGCTCCTTACTGGTTTTCAATGAGATGGCTCTAACTGAGATGTTAGTTCTATGATGAATATCTAACCATTGTAATTGTGACAACCAGTGGTGTTCGTCAGGGATACCAACTGTCCCCATTTTTTTTTAAAATTTCATCGTAGATGTGTGTGCTAATGGGCTTAACCCTAACTGACTTGAGCAACTCACGGATGGACTTGTTACGAGAGAATAAGTAGTGTTTTTGACTTTGAATATATTCGGATGATATCGTGGTTCTAGGTGAAGACGCCGACAAAGTTGAGAGTCTTCTGAATACCTTGAGGAGCAGCCGTCTTTGAATGTTTGGCATGTGATTGTCTCGTGTGATTTGTAAGAAGTTGCTACATGGCTGGAATACGCTGACTCCTAGCTGAAAGATGGGGAGTGAAGTGGTTGGCCACTTTACTTATTTGGGAAGTCGCATCTGCTTCATATTTCTGTTTCTAATCTCCCTCCGTCGCTTTCGCGACACCGTTTGCTCTCTTCTCTTGCCTTGTGTGGTACATGGAGTGGGGAGTGTAGCAACTGGAACTGGTGCACATCTGTGCTATGCGTTCTATGTTGAAACCAGTCAGTCAGTCATTGTAATGAATCGAAGATCTCCACAAATCGTTTTATTTTTATTCGTCACCTTTTACACTAGTTAGTTGTTAAAATTGTAGCCACTTGTGAGACACATTATTTATAGAGCACAATTCAACATGTGAATTGGTTACTATTATATATCTCAATTGTGTGAAAGATTGATTCCTGTGAAAATACTTAGTCATGTGCTCGTGGAGTGTGTATGTGTTGTTGTGACACACGACTTCTTAATATTCCTTGCAAAGCAAAACATTTGTGCTTGTGTGTAGACAACAAATAATCAATAGTATGCTTTCTTTATAGTTTAGGCACAAATGAATCAAAGGAATAGGCAGGCACAGCATGAGATTATTTATGGCAGTAATAATAATAATAATAATACTATGTAGACTTTATCGTATACATAACACCATTGCGCGCGCGCACATGTCAAAATGTACATACATACATACATAGTAGTGAACAATAGAGAATGGCGCTAATATGTTGCCTTCTGCTTTCACTTCTAAATAGTGTTAAGACATGGATGTTAGCCCTACACAGAGATAGTACTGATGTTGTTTTGTTTTTTTGGTGTGATCGGGCTGGTTGTACTTAGTCTCTGATCTGGGTGTTTGAATCGTGACGCTAAGCTTTCATTGTCTCTGCCCTGGACAATAAACTTCAGCGCTTATACACTTCAACATGGAGTCCACTTGAGATTATGTGGCAGCGAGGTTGACAACAGCTGATTGGTGGCATTGTCGGTGGACTGTGAGAGCGCTGTCTACCATTTCTTTTTGGATTTTGATGATGCACGTTGACACGTTTTTGAACAGGGATAGTGTGCGCCTCAGTTATGGTGAGTTTCACGATTTGTTTTCCGCTTTTGGTTGGTTGATTAGCTGTTGTAATATATTTGACGCTGGTTGACAGAATTAGATGGTGGAGATATTTGTTGAGAGAAAAACAGAATTGCCTTCCCAGATGTCCTCCTTACAAGAAAACCACATGATTGTATATAGAGAAATTTGCATAGGAAAAGAACATGGACGGGGCAATATACACACATTTTCATGGCTTCTTTCCTCTCCTTGTCTTCCTTTGTGTGATGTACATGGAGTGTGGCAAGGTAAAGTCGTGCACTTCTGTACAAAGTTGTATGTTGAAACCAGTCAGCCTGTCAGTCAGTCAGTCAGTTAGAATTGAATTTCTGATACTCTGCTAGATGTGTAGTGGAAGTTGGCGAACTCTTTGAGTTATTGGTAGTATTTATTTTATCGTGTAAGTGAATATGTGACCTGTAAAAATTTCATTCCCTTAGGTTCCAACTGAACGATGGAGCCTGAAGCACATGAACTTTGAAGGTTTCAATCAATAGCAGTGATGTTGCTTATATTTTTCCGAGGTGAGAGGTTGTCAGCCTACCCCCCCACCTCCCCCCTACCTTCCCTCACTACTGACTGGACTTACTTTACTACCAGTCAATGGAGGCTTTACAGAGTATGTCAACGAGAGGTCGAACCTCGAGTCATGTACGTGGTTGGTGGAGTAGTAGTGTACCACTGAACGAACCACCGATGCACACAGACATTATCAGTGCGAGGTGCATGCATATAGCACGCAGCCTTCTTCAAACCTCATGCACTATCCCGTCAACCTTGACAGATTTGGCGATAAAAGTCCACAGAACACACCATCAGAGCATGTGGTGGCAGTCTAGGTACCCGAGTACCTCTGAAGTGAGATCATGAATTAAACCCATCGAATGCTGGAGACATCTACTGTCTTGATTTTAATTCAATATTCTACTAAAACACTGTTGACATTCAGTGGAGTGATTTTTTGTTGGCTTGTTTTGTTTATAATACTGTATGGTTCTTATTTTTCCTGAGTACAGTTTACAGTTAAACGTGTTTTAACACACACACACACACACCCCTTATTGTTATTTGGAAACGAAAGTTTGAGTAAGAGTCATGTATCAGTCATGTATGTCATGTATGCCATGCATTCAGTGTACAATGACAAATGACATGAAAGCCTTTACTCTCTCTGTCTCTGTCTCTATCTCTCTTTGTTATTTTTAATTTTTAAATATTAATAATTTGTATGACATTTGGTTTAATAAAACAAAAGGAAATTGTACAATGAACTAAAAATTTATTTGTTTATCTTGGTTGATATTGAATGGCGAAATAGGTTTTTATACCAGTGAAGACAATTACAATAATAATAACAATAATACGAGGAATGAAACGTTGTTCATCACGTACATTCAATTTCTAACCAGAAGTGATCAGTAATCTCAGCTACCACATACAGTACAGTGACACATGTTACATTTTGTGAATCACCCTTGTTTCTAGTTGTCATAGAATCTTTTCTGAAACGTGAATAGGTATTACAAGGTTCAAACTGTCACCTGTGGGGTGCGATGGAGGTTGAATGCTTAATAGAGTGAACCACTCAGCAGGTCTTTTGTCTTCCATCATATATATATATATATATATGTATATAAAAGAGAACTGCTCTTTTCTATGAATCATTTCTAAAGGTTGCGGAACTCGACTAATATTTTATGTATATAAATTCATAAAACCAACTAAAGGCTGTTAATTGTGTTGTAGGAAAATGTTTTACGTGATATTGAGGAGTAGTTTAGTAGGTTCTCACTGGTTGGATACCTATTTTGTTGGTCGGAAACAGTATACAGTATATAATGGGAAGTGCTCCACTGCTTCACTTACTGTAGCTGGTGTTCCTAACTCAAGGGGCAGTACTTTTTTTCTCTTTTTTTGTTTTCTTTCTTCTGATATGACTTATTTACCCCATTCTGATGGAACCAGTCTTGTTAAGTATGCCGATGATCTAAGTGAATACAGGAGTGAGACAGAACTGTTCATTATCACCGATGATATTCTTAATTGTGGTGAACTGGATTGTGCGCCATATTTTGGAGAGTGAGGTGACAAGAATACGCCTTACCACCGATAATTAGACTTTATAAAATCTGAATTTTGCAGATGATGTCACACAAACTCGAAGACTTGCAGGCGAATACCAACAAACTGATTAAAGAGGCTAGCTGGTTGGCACCGAAGACAGGATTCCAGGTGAACACAGAGGAGACAGAGGTGATGAAGGTAACCAGTCACCACCGACAGCAACAGCAACAATCACCATAAACCGGAGAAAAATTGACAGAGATTACTTCCTGCCTTCACTCATCTAGGAAGCACTGTTTCAACCGCAGGTATTCGTAACGGATGTCAAAAGATGTCAAAACCTACCAGCCAGAATCGGAAAGGCAAAATACGTGTTCATCAACCTGAAATCATTTGAAAATCTGCACTCCACAGCATAAAGGACAAGATCCGGATTTCCAACACATATGTCAGTGAAGTCAGTTAGTTCTTCTACATGGGTCAGAAACACGGCCATCTCATCGCTTCACCTCACGAGAATGATTTCGGACACCCTTTTGCAGACTTTGATCAATAGTTGCCACCTTCGCTGACTGGCTGCCTCCATTCTTAAGATCAAATGGATAGCCAGCGGGTCGGCCGGAAACAATTAACAACAAGAAACTGTGACAATGAATTAACTGACTACGAGCCGATTGCTCAACAAATATGTAGGAGAGAATGGAGATTTGAACAAAGAGAGAAGAAACATTGGCGCAGAATAATCTGGATCCATTTTATTTCGTCGGTTCTCATCAGCCGCGACCCGACCGGAAGCTGCTACCTTGACGTGGTGGTCGGGCTTGAACACCGCAATGACCCAACAAGCTATACTGGCTGAGACTTATGTCGCTTGAGGTCCTACCATGCCAGAAAGGTTGTTTGGATAGTGGTTAGACAAAAAGCAGTTACCCAATCCAATTGCTATGACCCAAATGAAATCACAAAATATCATGCCGGATCGGTCGGGGCCCGTATTAACAACGACGGCGCTTCCTGCTGCCGTGTCACGCTCAGATATAGTCGTTCTTCCCTATTTGAGGAAGAACTAGCTAAACACATCTGAGTTCGACAGCTGTGCTCACCCTGAAGAAGCCTGGAAGGATATTCAGTCAGCCATAGATACAGTTGGAAAAGCTGTGAATAAGGTAAATCAAAATGTGAGTAAAAACCATTGGATTTCGACTGCCTCATCCGAACTGATAGATGCTAGAAGACTTACTCCGGTGAGCTCCGAATTCAATGAGGAGCGAAAGCTGCACAAAAGGAAACTTATGAAAAGTCTCCGCAAGGACCGTGAACATGGGTGGGTGACAAAGGAAAAGGCATCAGTGATAGGCAACACCAGGCAACTCTTTAGACTCATCAGGGTAACGGGTGGGAGAAGGCAAATCATAAGTGAAACTATTTCTGAGATAAATGGCTCCTTAATTAGCTCTCAGGATAGACGCCTTGAACGCTGGAAAGAACATTTTTAGGAACAATTTAACTTGTCTACAGCCGCACTGAACCTCCCCGCCATCCAGCACACACCCGAATGGGATATAGACATTGGTCCGCCGTCTGTAAGTGAGGTCACAAAAGCTATCTGTAATCTGAAACGAGGCAAAGCGGCAGGACCCGACGAAATTATTCCGGAGGTGTTTAAATATGGGGGTGACATACTAGTATGTAGTTTAACTAAGGTACTAGGTAATGTCTGGGAATCGGAGGCGGTTCCATCAGACTGGGGTAAGTCACTTATTATACCAATATTCAAGAAGGGAGACAAGTCCTCATGTGATAATCATAGGGGGATCAGCCTGACGAACATAGTCTCTAAAATCCTAGGCTCAGTAATCATGAACAGACTAAGCCGAACTCGGGAGGAACAAACGAGGGAAAATCAAGCAGGCTTTAGGCCAGGTAGAGGGTGCATAGATCATATCTTCACTCTCCGACAGATCCTAGAACATAGACACACTTTTAGGCGTCCAACAATTGCCATATTTCTTGACTTGAAGGCGGCCTCCGACTCCGTGGATCGAGAGGTACTGTGACAATCTTTGACTGTGAAGGGAGTGCCATTGCACTAATCAAGGCACTCTACTCAAACTCACGTAGCCATGTAAGGGCTTATGGGGAATTGTCATCTGAATTGATAACAACCAGTGGTGTCCGTCAAGGATGTCCACTTTCCCCATTTCTATTTAACTTCATCATAGATATGCTAATGGAAGTATCCTTAACTGAACTTAACGACTTAGGAATCGACTTGTTACCAGAGAATAGTCTTATAGACTTAGAATGCGCAGACGACATAGTCCTGTTAGGGGAGGACGCTGACAAAATGCAGAGTCTTCTGAACACCTTGAGCAGCAATCTTCGTATGTTTGGCATGCGATTCGCTCCTGTGAAATGTAAGATGCTGCTACAGGAATGACTGGACTACGTCAACTCCTAGCTTAGTAGTGATAGGGAGTGAAGTGATAGAACATGTTGACCACTTCACCTATTTGGGAAGTTGTATCAGCACCAACGGATTGATTGGTGACGAAATCACAGCACGGATCCAGAAAGCTCGGGCTGCTTTCGCTAACTTACACCGTCTCTGGCGTCGGCGTGACATCCGACTATCAACCAAGGGACGTGTGTACTGCTCAGCAGTTGGCTCCGTCCTCTATGGCTCTGAAACATGACCAATACAAGTTGAAGACATGAAAAGGTTGACTGTTTTTGATCATAGATGTCTACAATCTCTTTCTCACGTTAGGTAGCATAATAAGGAAGGTATTGTTGACGTTAGGCGTAGAGTGTTGGGCAAAGAGGGAAAATCAGTCGAAGAGGCTATGAAGTTACATAGATTGAGATGGCTAGGTCACGTGCTGCGCATGCCTAACCATCGTCTCCCCCGACGGACGGGCATTACTAGCTGATATAGGTGCAGGTTGGAAAAGAGTAAGTGGTGGCCAAACAAAAACATGGCATCAATCCATGAAATCCCTGACAGTTAAACTGAGTCAGGTAGGGAGGGAGATGCAGACTCCCGGGTTGGGGCCCTCGGGTCTCTAAGAATCAATGGCTAGAGACAATATGTGACATGGCTCAAAATCGTTGTCAATGGCTTACGCAGATGTATTCAGTCTCTGTAATCTTTCATATTCCTTTCTACCAATACTCATTCTGTTCCACTCTTATACTTGTCAAAACTCTACTGATTCCCTTCACTCATTTTCTTGTCTACCTTTGTGTGCTATTTGGAACGTGGCAACTCGAACTGCTGCACTTCGGTGCCAAGTTCTATGTTGAATCCAGATAGACAGATATCAGCTGCGTACAATCTGAATAAAATAGAAAAGTGTACAATTTTAACAAACTTTTATCCATTAACAAGCATATTGTCAGAGCGTCATAGTGAAATAAAGCGTTGTGATTTACAAGGTGTCTTAAGTGTTACGACACATAGATATGTATCTTGTCAGAGAGAAGTTTCTTGAAAAAAATTAATTAACAGTTGTGTTGTTGGGGTGGTGACAAAATAAAATTAGTAATAGTTACGTAATCAGATAAGAAAAGATCAAAATTTCGGTGCATTTGAGGTCAGATGAGAAGTTGATGATATAATACATTGAGTAGAACTCAGAAGATCAAGAAAAATTATCTCTTAAGAGAGTCAAGCGAAAAAGACAGGTGGGGGGGGGGAGTGAAAAGATAAGTTAGCAAAATTAGAAAACAAAGAGTTACTAAGAAGAAGTGAGTCACCAGGGTAATTGAAGTCCAACAACAGATTCTTTTTGTACACATAAGTCAATCGTTTTATTGTTACAGCTACAGCAAACCTGAGAAGACTTGAGGTACTTTGTCTGTTAATTATTTTGAATGCTTCCAGTACATCTACTCGGTGTCCTATGTCAGTCAGGTGTTTGGTGATTGAAGAGTTTGAACAATTCGGTCCCTTTAACCGGATGCTCGCTTCTTGGTACATGTTCGCAGAATCTGACGTAGGCCCTCCTCTCTGTTCTTCCAATGTAACTACTCCCGCAGATACATGTGAATTGGTATATACAGTTGGAGGTAACATGTGAAGGGTACTTGTCAATCTTTGACTGCACCAGTGAGGAGGTTGTTCGGGGTAGAGAGACTAATAATGCCGCAGGATACGTCCTAGACAGGGCTGCGCTTAATCTTTTATTTATCATTCTCATAATGTCGTCGCCCTTGTAGTCGAGTTTGATGAAAATAGGCTTCTTACTGACTGTAGCAGTATCAAGCCTCTTGAGTTCACACTCTTGCCATATTTTTTAATGAAACTTTGTGGGTAACCATTTTCTTTCAAGTACTTTT